TCCAGAGCCATCTGGGTCCAGTGGCCAGATGTAGATCAGGACTACTGGAGATGGCCTGGCCAGGTCACACAGCTAGTGAGTATCTGAGCTAGATTTGAACTCAGGTCCTCTTGACTCCTGGTTCTATCCACTGAGCTATCTAGCTGCCCAAAATTTGCTGTTGTTCAGTTGTGTCCAACTCTTCATGACTCCATTTTGTGTTTTCTTGACAAAGATATTAGAGTGATCTGCCATTTTATTCTCTAGCTCATTTTACAGAGAGAAAACTGAGGCGAACAGGGTTAAGGCCAGAGTCACATAGCTAATAAGTGTCTGAAGCCAGATTTGAACTCAGGAAACTTCATATTTTACTGGTGAGGAAAATGAGACATAGAGGTGATGTGATGTGCTCAAGATCACATCCTTTGAGACTCAGTCCAGGAAATCTGCCTATCTGACCCTACATTCAGCCCTATGAGAGCTGCCTTTAAATATCTGAAAAACTGTCATGGGGGGAAGGGGTTGGGATTGTTTTCCGTCCCAGAAGCAGAGCCCAAACAGCTCCTGGTGGAAGTTGATGAGAACTTCAGATTTAATATCAGGAAAAGCTGCCTTGGGAGGTAGTTTAGTTTCCCCTCACTTGAAATATTCAAGCAAAGGCTGGACAACCACTTTGAGGGTATCTAGTAGAAGAAATGTTCAGCAAAAGAGTGGACCTCAAGGTCCATTCTGGGTCCAGCATTCCCTATTCCAGGTTTCTCTCAGCTATGACCTGTGTTCATATCCTGCCCTATCACTCTTTAAGACATTGGTCAACTCTCTTAGCCTCTTTGGTCCTCCAATCTCTAAAATGAGAGATTTGCATTAAATGGCCTTCAAGTCACTTTCATAACTAAGGATCTTAGAATTTTTCATCCAGTAAGGGAGGGGCAATAGGGCCAGAGAACTGCCCATAATTTAGGCAGATTATCACTGTCTCCAACAAAGGAATGGGCTGCATTTTAAAAGAGTGATAGCTTTACAATACTCACCTTAGAAAGTAGCTTTGTGACTCCTTTGTGAGTCTCCCTCCCGAGACCTACTTCTCACCTTTTATACAGTGAGAAGGTCTTTGAGGTTATTAATTGATCCCTGTTCTAGCTTTTTCTCCTAATTGGACACCCCTTCCTTAGTAAATAAATCAGTTCTTGCCCCAGGAGAATTTCCTTGTCTGCTGGGACTGGTTTACATTTTAGTCTTTGTTATTTTAAATGCCTAACACTATGCCTCTACTATGCCTCTACTTAGCCTCTACTTAGATAATTACAAAATGCCAACTTCTTTTTGAGCAAAGTGGATCTCACAGCTACTGGGATTAAGTGAACTTCAGTTTCCACTTAACTAAAGATTTTCTGAGGGAGGAAAGGTCTTACCCAAAGTCTTTACCTCTAATAGGTGACAACTTGGAATGAAACTCCCACTGAACAATTTCTGGGCCGGGTAGGAGAGAATGTTTGTCTTTCCCTTTTTTCTACCAGAAGCTTTCCCCAGTCCCTTTAATTCCAGTGTCTTCTCTCTGTTAATTATGTCCTTTTTATCCTGTACTTAGCTTACTTTGTGTATACATTTGTTTGCCTGTTTTCTTCTCCTTTAGATTGTAAGCTCATTGAGGGCAGGGAGTGTCTCCTTTTGTATTACAGCATTTAGCATAGTGCCTAACACATAGTAGATGCTTATTGATGGATTGATTGATTTGGGGATAGGCACCAAGTAGTTTACCTACTTTTTTTTTTCTTTTTTGAGACAATCAGATTTAAGTGACTGGTCCAGGGTCACAGAGCTATCAAGGGTCTGGCATGAAATTTGAACTCAGGTCCTCTTGTCTCCAGGGCCTCTGCACCACCTGACCCCCCACTCTTTAGAGACAAAACCAATCCAATTCAGGTCAACAGCATCAACAACAGAAATAATTATTGTTTTTATATACTTGAAGGTTTGAAGGACTTTGAATATATTGTCTCATACAGGCCATTAGGGGGTAGACAGGACCTGAAGTCAGGAAGGCTTGAGTTTAAATCCAGCCTCAGATATTTATTTGCTGTGTGCTGCTTGCTCAAGCTTTTAGCTTCTGTCTGCCTCAGTTTCTTCCACACTAAAATAGGAATAATAATAGCATCTACTTCCTAGCGCTGAGGCTCAAATGTGATGCCTGTCACATATTAACAAACATTTCTAAAGCATCTACTATGTACTGTATGTAGGTAACACCTAGAATACAATGAAGGTAATTTAGAAATGCCATTTTTCCCCCTTCCTTTAATTGATTCTCTCAGCAATAAGATCCTGTTATGAAGGTGCTATTATTATCCCTACTTTACAGAGGAGGAAACAGGCTGAGAGAGCTTTAGTGACTTGCTTAAGGTCACAAACTAGAAAGTATCTGAGTCAGGATTGGAACTCATCCAGACTCCCAGTCCAATAATCTATCCACTTCCAGTATCTGGCTGTCCCCCTAGCCTTTATTAAACATCTGCTTTCAATCCTATGATCAGTCAAATAATAAGCATTGCATAGGATAACAGAAGTAGAGACAGAAGAAATATCAGGGACCACCAGTCCAACTGCTTCATTTTACAGGTGAGTAAACTGAGAACCAGAGATTTTAGATAATTTACCCAAATTAATACAGTAAATGACAGAAGCAGGACATGGGTTTAAGTTTTTGCAAAATATATACCAAGCAGCTGGAGAGATCAGTAAAGGCTTTGTGCAAGAGATGGCTTTAGAGTTGAACTTTAAAGAAACCTAGAGATTCTGAAGGGTAGAAGTGATGCATGCTTTCCACACCATAGTGGACAGTTATGCAAAGGCTTGGAGGTGGGAGATTAAACATTGTGAAGAATTACAACAAGGCCACTTTGGACCCAGGAGTTCAAGAATGCAAGTAATGAATAGCAAGGTTTGAAATGCAGTTTAGAATCAGACTGTGAAGTTCTTGAATATCAAAACAGGGTTTCTCTCTCTGAAGCTTGGTCCAGAAGATCAGGAAGGAAGTGATAGTCTCCATTCTAATCTATTTCATTAGATATGTGAGCTAAGGAAGAGTGAGGAGCTCAGGATGGCCTTGGAGTCAGGCATACTCATTTTCCTGAGTACAAATTCAGCCTCATACACTAGCTGTGTGACCCTGGACAAGTCACTTCACCTAGTTTGCCTCAGTTGCCTCCTCTGTGAAATGAGCTGGAGAAGGAAATGGCAAACCACTCTAGTATCCTTGCCAAGAAAACCCCAAATGGAGTCAAGGAGAATCAGATATGACTGAACCACAAGAGCAAACACTGTGCATTGGACATTATGCTAAGTGCTGGTGGGAAACAAACATGAAGCATTTTCTACACTCTAGGAGCTTACCCAATGCTGGAGGGCAACACAGTTATACAAATAGTATGCACAAAGTAATTTGAGGGATGAGAGAACACAGGATTTAGAACTGAGAAGATACTAGCCCAAGAAAACAACATAAAAAATATGATAATAAAATTCAGAGCTAGAAGGAACCTCAGAGGTCATATAATCCACAGGTCTCATTTTACTGGTGAGGAAATTTCAACCTTCCTCATGGTCACATTGATAGAGAACCAAAGTAGAAATCTGCCTCTCTGACTCTGTCTACATCCAGTTCCATGAGAGCTGTCTTTAAATGAAGGGCTTTTATATTGAGGAAGGACTGGGCTTATTCTCCTCAGTCCTAGAGGGCAGAGCCAGAAGAGATATGGGGTAAAATTTATGGGTTTAGATTTGATAGAAAAATCTTTATAAGAATGGGAACTGTCCAAAAAGGGAAGACTTCTTCCTATCCAATGATCTCCAAGCAAAAGTTGGATTATCTCTTTGGAAGGATAGTTATTGTAAAGAATATTCTTCTACAGGGCTGACTTGGACTGGATAGGTTTTGAAGTTTCTTCCAAGTTGGGGTTCCAAATTTCTTTAAGGTTAACACGTACACTAAAAGCAGTGCTGTAATGGGGCCCTGGAAATGTGTGTTTAAATCCTGGCTTTGTCCTTGACCGTCAGACGGGTCACTTCACTTCTCTGAGAATCACTTACCTCCAACCCCTAAATGAGGGTTTGAACTACTTATCCTACTTAGATCCTTCCTAATTCTGATATTGTCTCCTAAGGTCCCTCAGGTGGCAAAGTGGATAGAGAGCTGGACCTACAATAGGGAAGAATCGATCTCAAGCATTTACTAGCAGTGTGATGCTGGGCAAGTCACTTAATCTCTGTCTACCTCAATTTCCTGAAGTGAAATAGAGACAACAATAGCATCTACCTCCCCAGGTTACTGTGAGACTATAATTGTAAGCATTATTTAAACTTTAAAGGGCTATATTAATGCTAGCTGTGTTTGGGTTTTTGTTGGCATCACATGAGATAATAGTTGTAAGCATCATTTAAACTTCAAAGGACTAAATAAATGGTAACTTTTGTTGGGTTTTTGTGGTTATTGTGACTTAGTACTGTGCCTGAAATATAATAGGCATCATAAAAATGTCAACTGTTATTGTCTTTGCTATTGTTATCATTATTATTACAGTCCCTACCAGTTCTGATGTTCTCTGGCTTATTCCAACTTTGTCATTCCGTATTTTAAAAGTCTCTCCTAAGCTCCAACGTTATGTTCTAAAGTCCCTTCCAATGCTTATAATCTGGGTTCAAAGAAGCCTTCTACCCCTGCCATTCTATGATTCCAAGCATGGTCCATACTGACTGTTAAAGTCTATGCAGAACTTACTAACCTCTGGGGAAAAGGTCCAGCATGCTTTACTAACTTTGGATACTCTCTTCCAACATTTCCCCTGAAATCAAGTTGAGAAAAATCCCTAGGTTCAAAGGGAAGAGAAATCAATACATTGAAATGCTTTCCAACCAAGATACCAATACTCTGTTTCCTGACCTCCTAGTGCCCTGAACATAGTTGACAGTCAAAAAAAAAATGTTTTTGATTGTTGGTGATTTTAGCTAGTTTTCTTCTTTTCTAGGAATAATTACCAGTGAGAGGCTGAATTAACAAGAATTTCTGGTAAGAGCAACCCACATTGGTTTTTCTTTTTTTTTTTCTGATTCTTCTTTCACAACATGACTAATGTGTAAATATGTTTAATATGATTGATTGTACATATATAACCTATATCAGATGGATTGCTGTATTGGGGAAGGGGGAGGAAAGGGAGGGAAGAGAGAGAAGGAGAAAAATTTGGAACTTAAAATCTTACCAAAATGAATGTTGGAAACTGTCTTTACATGTAATTGGGAAAAAATAAGATATTATTAAAGGCAGAAAAAAAAAAGAGCAACCCACACTGATTTCCTGGCTTGCTATGAAAAGCTGAGATAAGCAAAAGAGATCAGTGACAATCAAATATTTTAGATTTGGGTGGGGTGAAGGGGAGAGAGTACAGTTGAGAGGTGATTTAATCCCTTTCCCTGCCTAGAGGCAAGTTTTGTGCCTGTTTTTCCACAGCCTCTCCAACATTTGCCATATACATTTTTGGATATTACCAATGTGGGAATTGATTTTGCTTAACTATGCATGTTTGTTACAAGGATTTTTTTTTCCTTTCTTTTATTCCCCCTATTGGGACAAATGATTGATAATTGGGGGGGGGGGGAAAGTAAAAACAAAAACACACAAAGCAACGCTCAGTGTTATGAACTCTGCTTTGGCATCCATAATGGCAGAGGGTTCAGAGGGGTCAAGGATCCTACAGTTTCTAGACTATCTACAAACTGGAACTTCGGCTTTGGTGCTTATGGATCTTTTCTTAGCAATTAAGCTGAATTAATAGTCCTACAAGAAATGAAACTAAGCAAAAAAATAAAATGTTAGCTGAAAAGAGGATTATCAAGTCTTTCTGAGAAAGAGCAAGAAAAGAATACATGAAATTGGTTTCCTTATGGGCCCAAGGGCATAAGAAGTATCTTTTCATGCAAATCTTGGTCATCTTGTCTTGCAGCCCTTGGCATATGTCAATAGACCGCCACAGACAATTACAACTCCTGCCAAAATCCACAGTTGAAGAGGTAGCTTGGAACAGAGCACTGAACTTGGAATCAGGAAGATCAGGGTTCAAATCTCACTGAATACACTTATTAGTTATTTGACCTTATGCAAGTCATTTGCCCTCTTAGCTTCAGTTTCTTCATCCGTAAAATGAAGAATTTGGCCTTAATGGCCTCTAAGATTTCTGACAGCACTAACTCCAAGATTCCATCATGCTGAAGATGAAGATACGGGACAATTATATGAAGAATGTGACAAGATTTTCCAAATTATGTTAGCATATTCTCAGAAACCTGACTCAGTGGCATCACTGTGAAGGTAGCCGTAGAGGGAGGGGATTGCAAATCCATGGAAATGTCTAAATTCAATCCTTCTTATTTCAGGCTACCCATTTCTGAGAATTGAAGCAAAATATTTGTCTATTTTAAACTGTCCCTGATACCTACTTCCTAATCAATTTAAACCACTTCTATGGAAATGACGATTTAAATTTTAGAAATTTTGATTTAAATTAGTTGAATTTAAACAATGATTAAGTTAGCATGGAATGAGAATTTATTCATAAAATGGTCATAATGGTGCTGCCTCTTTGGAGGGTGTCAGACTGTTCTGTCTCTGAACCCCATGAAAACAGTACTGGCTTTGGTGCTAGAGGACCTGGGTTTAACCTCACTTAACTTCTCTGGGCCTCAGTTTTCTTATTTGTACAATGAGGTGGTTGGACTGCATGACCTCTGGTATCTCTTCCAGCTTCAAATCTTTGAGGTCTTGGATCTTTCTGGAAGTTAATTACTGATGTCCAATTCCAGTGGACAGCACTGCTCCCCTGGTCTTATCTAGAGTGTTAGTAAAGGGAAACAAAACTGAAAACATATTGAGTAAACACAAAATAGAATACCTCTGTATACTATAAAAGAGATATAATTTCCACCTCTAACAGGGGTACTCCTTCATCAATTCAGAGTGTAACAACAGCAAAAACAGTGACAAGCATTTGTGTAGCTCTTCATATGTGCCAGACACTGTGTTAAGCACGTTACAAATATTTGGTCACTTGATCCTCAGACAACCCTGTGAAATAGGGGCTTTTGTTTTCCCTATTTTAAAGTTGTTGAAGAAACTGAGGCAGAGAGGAGGTGAAATGACTTGCCTAAAGTCACACAGCTACTATCTTGAAGTCACCTCTGTAGTAGTTCTTCATTACTGTAATAATGCCAGAGTTAGAGTCAGGAGATCAGAATGGAAACACAAGCTTTTCTTTTTAATACTTGTGTCACTTTAGGCAAGTCACTTGATTTCTCTAGGTCTCAGTTTCCCTAGGTGTAAAATGAGACGGTTGGACTAAAATATCTTTGAGGTCATTTATCCAATTTAGGTTTGATGTCAAGTCAGGCTTCCTAGACATTAGAACTGCCCCAAAGTGGGATGGGCTGACTCAAGAGGTGGTGGGTTGTCCTTCCTTGGAGGTCTTCAAGCAGAGACTGGACGACAACTTGCTGGTTATAGTAGGAATTCTTTTTGTTTTCGTTTTGTAATTTTTTTAATTTTACATTTTATTTTACATTTAAATGTGAAGTGAGGGGGGGGAAAGCAGACCATAAGAGAGGATTCAATAAAAAGCAATAAATTTCCATTTCATGAAAATCTATGTAATAAATACTACATATGGTTTTCAAAGTTGCCCATGTTTCCTTTACTTCCTTGTTGATTTTCTTTTTTTTCTCTGCTGTGCACTTTTTACTCTATTTTTCCCCTTTCTTCCCCCATAATATAAAGAAGGCTACAATTAAGTGTGGATATATATACATAAACATAGATATCTATAAAAACATACATATATACACATAGACATTCATACACATATGTGTAAGACTGTCCTATGCTCATTTCCACTTGTCATCTGTTTCTCTGAAGGTGGATAGCACCTTCCTTCATTAGCCCAAGTCTTTCCATGTTTTTCTAAATCAACTTGCTCATCATTTCCTACACCACAGCAATATTCCTTTCTGGATGCAAAAGTAGGGATTCTGTTGGTGAACAGATTGCACAGAATGGTTGCTGAGGTCCCTTGAGCTCTCAAATTCTGTGATAATCTGGTTTCCAACCGGTTGGGGAGTATGGCATGAGGTTAGAGAAAACTTTCAAATGACTTTATAGCTAGTTATCCAAAAGCAGGATTGGTTATTTTGGAAGGTCATGAGTTCCCTCACACTTGGGGGTCTTCAAGCAAAGATTACAGAACCGCTTGTCAGAGATGTGGAGGGGATCCTTGGCGGCTAGGTAAAGGGTTCACCTAAATGGCTGCTATTGTGTCTTCTAATTCTGAGATTCAGAGATTCTACAATATATTTGTCATGTAATGTTGTATATCATGGTGGTTATTATATCTTTGTGTCTTAACCTCATGCTATATTGTGAACTCTTTGAGGGCAGAGTCTGTATCTCATCTAAACTTTCTGCCTTTCCTACAGTCTCAGATGATTAATAAATATTTGCATTATATATGCATATATATTAATGTTGTTCAGTTGTTTCTTGGCAAAGATACTGCAGTGGTTTGCCATTTCCTTCTCCAGATCATTTTACAGATGAAGAAACTGAGGCAAAAGGGTTAAATGACTTGTCCAGGATCACATGGCTAGTAAATTTCTGAGGCTGGATTTGAACTCAGGAAGACTCATCTTCCTCACTCCAGGCACAATACTCAATCGACCATGCTGTCTAGCTGCCCCCTGTATGTGTATATATACACCTTATGAATGTATGCAATCTGCTGCCCAAGGGGAATATCTTCTCCCACAAAGGGCCTCAGTTCTAAATTTGCATAGAGCCCAGATTTAGTCTTGGGAGAGCCTGGCTTCTAAAAAGAAAAAAGCAGTGCGGGGGGGGGGGGGTGTAGGTTTTTTTTTTCAAGAACTTTCTGCTTTATTGTTCCTATCCCAGAGTTCTGGGAAGAATCTGTTAAACAATGCTTATATATATTGAGTCATACCTAAGGTCTCCTCCAAAACAGTGAAAAGGTACTCATTGTACAAAGTAGTAGATATCATTAGGTAAGATATTTATTTGCTGCAAAAGAAACAGTTAAAACACAAAAGCCTACTGTGATCAGATTACCAATTCCACGTGGAAAGAAGTCCAGTCTCTATGAGCATGCCCAGAGTGTAGCTGATTACCCACATGGAAGAGTCTGAGAAGACTGTTTCTGAGAAAGTCATGATAACCTGTAATGGAAGTATCTTGGAGACACTTTGGAGCATGTGTAGACATTTTTAACTGAACCTGGTCTACTTAGCACATGGTGAATAGGAGCCTCTTTGATTGACTGTGACTGTACAGATGATAATAGGGAGGATTCCACTAAGTGCCCTTCTGTTTTGATTCCTTCTGTTTGAGAAATGACTTCCTACTAATGGCATCTGGTGAGAGAAGGAAGAGAGAGAGGCCTCATGGCATTTTGGTTTTTTAAGGTAATCCGGATTAAGTGACTTGCCCAGGGCCACACAGCTACTAAGTGTCTGAGGCTGGGTTTGAACTCAGGTCCAGGGCCAGTGCTCTATCCACTGAGTCACCTAACTGCCCTCTCAAGGGCCATGAGTCTCCTGCCCCATGAGAGGTATGTGGTTCTTTTCCTGGCCCATCTATATTCCTTTTACCACCATTCCCCTGTGGAACTCTGCTGGTACCAACTTTTTTTTTTAAAGATTCTATTTCATTATTATTTGTTAATTTTTAATATTCATTTTCAATAAATTTTGAGTTCCAGCTTTTCTTCCTTTTCTTAGTCCTTCCCCCACCCATTGAGAAGGCAAGCAATATGATACTCAATGTACATGTCTCACCAACCTTTTAGGAGGCACTACAGTGCAGTGGAAAGAGAGTCAAACTTGGGTGCCAAATCACCTGAATCTAAATGCTGGCTTTGCTGCTTGTTATCTGAGTGACCTTGTGTAGGTCACTTCTACTCTTCTCTCCCAGTCTCAGTTTATTCATCTGTAAAAGAATGGGATTGAACTAGACTAAGTCCCCTTCTGGCTCTTAATATGTGATCATATGTACGTATACATGTGTCATTGTGTGCACATCAGTATGTATATGGGTGTTAATCTTGTTTCCACCTAGTAGAAGAAATACATGCCTCAAAATTGATATATTTAGATCACTGTTCTCCTGAGAAGCACTGTCTAATTTCCCTTAGCTTTGTTTGTCTGTGTATAACCCTGGCTTGCATCTATGAGGCAGACTTATAAAATGGGAGCCCACATTCGTAGTAATTCTGCATTTACACAGTGGCTCAGTCTTATGATCTCAAATAGAGCAAACAAGTCTCTAACAATGGGCTAGGGGTTGACCTCCCAGACTTGTGCTAGGAAAGATTCCTCTCTCCTGTGTGGTTCACATTGTTCCCTCATGCTGCAAACAAAGGGATGCCCAACAGCATAAAGATGGGGTCAATCTTAGGTGTTTGTAGGAAATAATTTTAAATCTGGCAAATGTATTCTTTAATAAAATCCATTTGAGAAAATCACAAATGAAGTAAGGCTGGAGTAGAGTAAGACCCCACCTGTTCTTCTCAGTTGCCTTGTTTCTCCTGTTACCAGAGCAAACCCCTGCTAGAAGATATTTACAGTCCCATGCATCTCCAAGCTTCTCTATTTAGGTACAGGATATCTCTCAGGGTCTTAAAGAAGGGAACTACAGATGTAACATCAGCTGCTATCCCAGGCATGCTGCTGCTGTGGGATGACCACCACCTCTTCCTTCTTTCCTCCTCCTTCTCTTAAAGAGTGTCCAAAACACCCGCTGTCTTTATATGTGAAAAAAGAAAAAGAAAACCTCTGCAATCTCCTCCTCCCTCAGGGTGTATTTCTACTGAGTTTCTTTTTTTTTTCTCAAATTGGGAAAAGCTATATAAATCCCTGGGAGTTTCGTAGCCAACCAATCCCTTGCCATGGGTTGTTATATTCATAATGGAGTTCTTCCTCTGACTTGGAACATGTACAGTTGCTATTCAAATAAGCCAAGAGGGCACTTTGGGGACCAGTTTCATGAGACATGCATGACTCATCATTGAAAGTACCTTGACTGGTT